GATATAATTTGTTCGTGACACATATCGATTAAAGTTTAAAATATTTTATTTAATAGCAGTATAATATGATCAAAGTTGCAAAAATTATACATGGCAGGAGGTCAGAATTGATAAATTTTGTGATTTGTTTGAGGTACGAATTGACCATAATTGAAAAAACTATTGATTTGGTGGCAGTATTATATGGACAAAACTGCAAAAATACAACATGGCCGAGGGAAAAAGCGAGTTTAAAAGAAAAGATAAAGTCAGAATTAGATTCTGTTGTACCAGCTGAATAAAAGTCAAATCTCTGGATTTAATCTGTCAAACATTTTGCTACAAATTAAAAATTATTTCAGGCTCAGACATTCAATCTGACTTTCTCTTCTTCCATCAGCTCTAAAGTATGTTCGGAAGGCAGAGCGGGAAGCATCGTTGTGGTTTTTACTCATTAACTTTCACATTTTCTCCTAGTAATTAATCCTCAGCCTTTCATTGCCTCACATTTTCGAGGCTTGTTTGTCAACACATTCGAGTTATTTCCTCAGGCTGTCAGCTGTGGCTTTTTTATACACAGATGAACGTTTAGCAGCGTGATTATTGCTTTTAACTCGTGGCCCCACATTTTTATAACCGTTTTCTGTAGTTAAAAGCTGCTTCTGTAACCGTTTCAGCTCGTTAGTTGCACTTTAAATGAAAATATAAATTAAACTGCATTAGAGGGTTAATGAGGCGAGACAAGAATCAGCTTTTTGGRAGTTCATTTAAAAATTAAAGCTTTATGATGTAAACAACCATGATTTTTTAAACAATTGAAACCTAAACTTCCTTTGCCTTTACATCAAAAGCACTGCTTTTCCATGGGGCGCACAGTTTATTTAAAGATCCAGTGTCTCTACACAATTATTTCCTTTTAGCGGTTGAATTCTATAACCATTTTTKTTTGGGTAGGGCACAGATGGTCGTAGCCGGAGGGAATCCCTGGTGGCTTTGGAGTTGAAGAACCCCTTAGAGGCTCGCTGTGCTGCTCTGATGTGGGCCATTGGCTACCACAAGGATCTGACAGCTTTCTGGCACGCCATTGGCTGCCGAAACTTGTGGCTTCCTGTCTAGGGCCCCTCTGCTCTGCCAGGGAGGAAATGAGAGGGAGGAGAGGGTTGCGTCACAGGAATCCTGTATTAGCGTCTGCTGCTCTTTGAATTTTCAGAGAAAACCTGAATGAAAAACCACAGAGCTTCTTTAATTCCCCCATCGTTATTTTGGCTCCCTAGACCAGAGGAACACGACACAAGGGGAAGAAAAGAGTTGGCAAAGGGCAAAAATAATTTAAAATACTACTAATATATCACTCGAGCAGCTAAATCAGGCAAACCTGGAAAATGTAAAAGACTGATTTGGTGTTGCCTCGTACTAAAAGCTCGTTTCTTCAGCTCTAAGCCTGAGAGAAATATAAAAAACAAGAAGCTGCATTTTGGATTCAAGTCAAACCACAGTCCAAACGTTGACTAGAAATCAGCCAATCCAAACACCTGCTCAGTGAGTCCGAACCTGACCAACGTAGTTCGGTGATGACATCATCCTGTTTCAAACCGAGCTCTTTTCAATCTGCAGCTTCTTTTTTTTTTTAATCAAGAATGACTGAACAGACCGGTTGTCCTGCTGAGGTGGAAAAACAAGCAGCATGACAAGTGAATAAACATCTGTGGGCGTCCTTTAAACAGATCCTGCTTGCTGCTCATCTKCTAACCCTCAGATTATGTGTTGGAGATTACGCTCAGCTACTTCCACGCCAAACTTTACGCTCCTATCTGTAAAACTGGCTGAAGTACAGTCATTTATGGGCAGCCATCTTGAACTGTAGCTGTAGATGTACCGCGCGTCCAGTGACTATGTTCTAGGAAATCCATGCACTTATCTGTGAGATATTTTGCTAACAGAAGCAGCAGAAACGTACCCAACCTGCGGCAGAACACTCCCATGATGGCGCTCTCCTCCACCACCCTCAGATCCGCCAGCAGAGCCAGCTCCAGGCCTCCGGCCACGGCAAACCCACTGACTGCTGCTATCAGAGGCTTGGACAGCTGCAGACGGCTCGGACCCTGAAGGAAACAACCGGGTCARAACCAGGTCAGAACTGGTACTGAGTGTCTATAATCAACACACAAAAGCAGGCTAAATAAAGAGGTTATTGTGACAGTGTAGCAAGCCATTATTGTGACTACTGTTTGTCAGTTTTTTTCACATAAACTGGCTTTTTGACAATTTCAACTTTTAGCTAACATTTTGCTACTTTAGCTTTGAGCTACCATTTTGCTAGTTTCAGCAAGCCTTTAACTATTTCATGCTTTTATCTAAACTTTTGCTGCCTTTAACAAGAGATTTGCAACATTTAGCTTTTAACTAACATTGACTACATTTAGCTTTCAGCTAGTTTTTTACTACTTTTAGCTACCCTATTGCAACTTTAGCTAGTMTTTTGCTATTTTATGCTTTTATCAAACTTTTTTGCTGCTTTGCTGGAAAATTGCTACTTTTAGCTTTTAACTAGATTTGACTACATTTAGCTTTCAGCTAGTCATTTGCTTTTGCAACTTTAGCTTTTAATTACCATCTTTCTAGTTTTAGCTAGTCTTTTGCTATTTTATGCTTTTATCTAACCCTTTGCTGCTTTTAACAACAGATTTGCRACACTTAGCTTTTATCTAAYATTGACTACATTTAGCTTTCAGCTAGTTTTTTACTACTTTTAGCTACCCTATTGCAACTTTTGCAAACCCTTTGTTATTTTATGCTTTTATATAATCCTTTGCTGCTTTTTGGTAGATTTGAAATTTTTAGCATTTAACTAACCTTGACTACATTTAGCTTTCAGCTAGTTTTTTGCTACTTWTAGCTATCTTTTTGYAACTTTAGCTTCTACCATCTTGTTAGTTTTAACAAGCCTTTAACYATTTCATGCTTTTATCTAAACTTTTGCYGCTTTTAAYAAGAGATTTGCAACWTTTAGCTTTTATCTAACATTGACTACATTTAGCTTTCAGCTAGTTTTTTACTACTTTTAGCTACMCTATTGCAACTTTTGCAAACCTTTTGCTATTTTATGCTTTTATCTAACCTTTTGCTGCTTTGAGGTAGATTTGCAACATTTAGCTTTTAATTAACATTGACTAAATTTAGCTTTCAGCTAGTTTTTTTACTACTTTTAGCTAGCATTTGTCTACTTTTGGCTTGTAGCTGGTGTTTTGCTTCCTAACAGCCATTCAACACTTTTTATCACTTTGTTCTCAGATTCATTCCTCATACTTGAAGCTAAAAARGTAGCTGAAGAATTGAAGCATTTTGAATTGGGTTTGTTCTGTTGTTTCCTGCAGCTGGAGGTTTCCTCRAACCCGTTAGTCCTCAGCAACCTGCGGTCCAAACAGATTCATGTTTTCTACAACATGCACACAATTTTCCAGATTCGGCGTCAATCTCTAAAACAAAAATCTTCAATCCTAAACATCCAAAAATAAACAAAACTTACCAACCACCTCACACACACACACACACACCACCCGGGTTCTGCTCACCATTGGACCAGGATCTTTTGTGACATCTTGCTCCAATTTAAGGGGGACTTTTTGATTGGCCATCTTTTTCAGATCATAACCGGAGCAGAAATTCCCTCCTGGAAGAGACCACAAAATTACAAAGTATGGCAGCTGCATAGTCAGAGAGGAAGGGAAAATGACGAGAATGGAAAAAAAAGGGCTGCAATTTGGATAGCAGCTTTTCTTTTTTTTAACTTTCTTCACTCTYTCAAGGAGCTAAATTATATACACAAATCATACATGTGCTCACATGCATCACACTCTCATTAATGGAGGAGTAAGAGCCTCTTCCACTGGATTTATGTGGTAATTACAGCATCGCCCAAGAGGCAAACAAACACCATGTCACGGCTTCAGGCAGGGACTCGTAAAATCCTCCTCGCTCTGTAATGAACACATGTGCCAGCAACACCCATCAGCTGTGGGTCAGCACCGGGCAATTACAGAATAAAAAAACTGTGTCACGCTGTTTATGGCAGCAGAACATACTAAAATGCACATTTTACATTAACACATAATGTCCAAACTGAGATTTAACCAAAATAAACAGTGATGTCATCGTGGAAGGCGGGGAAAAATAAACGTTTTATGGATTTTAAGAGCAACTTTTGACGAGATTTGAGTTTTTTGCTAAAAACAAGCAGTCACTGTGGAAAAATTATTCACTTTTCTTTAAACAATTKCTGCACAAATATCTGCAGGAGCATCACAAATGTGTTTACTTTTCTGGTGTCTCATTTAGGAGATACAGCGGGTAAAATAAGTATTGAACACGTCAACATTTTTCTCAGTAAATATATTACTAGAGGTGCTAATGACATGAAATTTTCACCAGATG